GGGTAGCCGAATCGGAATCTGAAACAATCATGGTGGCGAGAAAGGGAACTGACCTGGAAAGAAAGAAGAACGGATTAGGAAGCAGCGGAGTTGCAGACGGAAACGGGTGAAGAAGGCGAAGGGAAAAGATGGCGTTCAACGGCGGTTTTTTAACTGACAGCAGAGGAGCGAATCGGCGGGCCATGATTACCTATTTGTGGAGATCGTGCCCAGACGTCACGCGGAACCCAAGGAACGGCCCGGATTCCCGCTGGAGCGCCCACGTGGACTTTGCAAACTCCCCATTCTTCCACTTGGCCCAGCTGAAGAATGAGGAGTTGGGGGGCTTATGATGGGCCGATATCCAGTGGGCAGCCCAAATGAACCGCTTGTACAGCTTCGGGTCAGACACTCGGAAGGTACTCAGGTCTGGGCCGGCCCACAGAGCCGGGCCCGGTTGACTTTAGACCAAGAGTAGCTGGCAGAGCCAGTCCGGAGAAGGAGACGGAGCAGATTGGCCGTTACAGAGCCGGAAAAAGGGGATCGCGCCCTTAGCGGGATAGACTCCATCAATTATGCGTAACCTTAATTGCATATAGCTCATGTATAAATAGAGGAGACCCGAAAAGGGGAAATTCAAGCAAAATCAAGCTAATAATACATACCCCATTCTCGAATTCTCGTTCTTAATTTTGTTCTTACGATCCGCTTAACGGATCGGATTATTTGGTGGATTTATTGTCCATCAGGAAGTAAGAGGATTGTGTAGTTTAGGGATTTTCATGTTGTTGTTTTGATGTGTAAAAGTTCTAGATTTTGGTGATATGAATGAAGCACTTTCGGTTCAAAAACATATAAATCAGCTGATGACATGTTTCTGTGTGCTTATAAACTGACTTATAAGCTGTCTATAAGCTAGAAAAAAATAAGTAGGTCTTAACTACTTATTTTCATGCTAGTCTTTTCATTCTCCGTTTTGACAAGATTATTTACAAAATTATCTCTCACTATTTACGAATATTTACAAATAACTTATCTATCATTTAAGTCATTTTATATACATAAAAGAATATTTGACTTATAAGTAGCTTATAAGTTTAAAAAAATTATTAGAGTCTATCTCACATCAAAAGTTGAATAGAAAAAGTAATGCGAGATTAAAACATTTCAACTTCCGATGTGCTAAAACATTTCAACTTCCGAGGTGTTTTAGTGACTAAAACAGAATTTTAGAGACTTATAAGTATGGTAGCTTATATGTTAAAAAAACTTTGGAATATGCTAAGAGGTTTCATTTATATCATGGGTAATGCTTGAGTAATGTGATCACTTTTGACGCCAAAGCCAAACATATATACTCAGGACATTTTTTTCATACAGAATAATATATGTGCTCAATATACGTGTTTCTCTTTAGATCCCCAAACTTAACTTTAGTTTTTCTTTTATATCACACTCATTTCATTTTAAAATATTGGCACTCTATAAAAATTCATGTCATACTTTAATTGTTAATTTCTCATCATACAATACACCTTAAAGTAGTGAGTTTTTCAATTCTTTGAAACCAACCAAAGTCTATTCAGTGGATTACGGCTTTATTGAAACTACCAACCAATATTCTTTGTCATAGTTTGACTTTTCTAATTAAACTGTAGCATCATCTAACCGTGAATTAAGAAAAAAATATATATTTAGTTATAATATAAATTTAATAAAATTAAATTTATTTTAAAATATAATTTTGAAATATCAAATTTTTATAATATTTAAGTATTTTCAACTACATTTAATTCATGGTCAAAGAATGTCACAATTTGTCTAAAAAATCAAACTGTGACAATCTTTTAAGAATAGAAGAGTATTTTATTTTTGGAACATCCTAAAAGTGCTCCACTGAGGGAAAAAAATATGGTCCATTTTATTTTTCTTTCATCTACACAAATTAGGATAGAATAGTTTCACATTTTTTAGTAATCATAGTGATCAATTAAATGTGAAATCTTATTACCACACACAAACTACTATTAGCATAAAGGGGCCCTACATGGGGCACCTTTCCTCTTGTGGAAGGGCTTTTTTGGCTTTAAATGAGTGGCTGAAGTAACCCACACTTGAATGACCTCAGAAGACTCAGTTAAGAAGGAAGTGCAAGACTCATTTTCTGTGTTCTCTTTTGTGGAGAAGTCTTCTTCACCAAACTGTGAAATCTGAAATGAGATTATCTTGTCTCTGTATCTTGCATCTGATGAAACCTGCATAGGGACTTTTTTAATTTTTAATGTGCCATTAAATGAATGGTAAAGACTGACGTATGTACTTGATACTCAATCATGAAGAATATATATACACGTTCATCGATGTACGATCAGATCAAACGAGACTAGACAAAAGACAAAAATATAAAAATTAATGAAAAGTAGATGGTCTACTAAAGACCACTAGACCTAAATAAAGTTTGATCGTGGACTGAACAGACCTTAAAAAATTCGTCCAAATCTAATAGACATACTTTCATCATTGAGTGGATCGAAATACCATATTCATTTTAAAAATTATGAAAAATATTATCTCACCGCGGTTCTTTTGACATTAGGTTTTGATGCATGGCATATTTTGATATCAGGTATCTACAGAGTACAGAGCACAAAATTGATCGAGCAAGAGTGGGTTCATACTTTATTGCCGAAACTATGAGTACTCAAACCCAAACAAACTCTTCGAGCTTGTTTACTTCATCACTTATTTTTATTGCTTATTATTTATTCTTATTATATTCAGATTATACCACATCATATCAAATTAGATTATAAACAACTTTAAATATAACTACAACCAAATCAGATCAAATTAGAACTTATTTCAATCCAATCGGAACCAACCAGATCAGATAAAAAGAAGTGCGCTACATTCTCCATCCATTGAGCGACCTAGGATGAGCGCGTCTTATGTAGCACTGGCTATATGATTTCAGAGAAATCGAATGAATTAATGGACAGAAAGATTATACTCTCTCCGTCTAAAAATGATCTTCTCATTTGACTTTTCATTGTCAAAGTTTGTAAACTTTGACTATAATATGTGGAAAAAAACATTGTACTATGATATAAATTTAATATCAATATATTTCTTACTGAAACGTGGTATTGAAATATCAAATTTTTATAAAATATATCTACGTATAAATATAGATATTAATAGTCAAAATGTAATATTAGACACTGTAAAAGGTCTAATGGGAAGAATATTTTATTTTCTGAGGAAAGGCTATAGCACTCTGTAAATGCATAGGATATATATATAATGGATGGGGAATATAATTAGTGAATACATACATACATACCCTGCATGCAATGGAGCAATAGCGATTAGGGAATTCTTGGAGATGCCTCCCACATGCATCACAGCCCCATTTATTATTATTGTTATTTGTTTTCCCGCCACTGTCTTTCTTCGATCTCGGCCGTGGGTTTATATGTATCGCCTTCTCCCCGTTGATCTTGTACGTCTGCATTATTATTTTCCCATTATTTTTTTCCTATTTTTCTTAATCAAACTTTTCTTTCTTGGAACTTCAACTTAATTATTTGCCTTTCTTGATACAAGTAAACAATAAAATAAAACATCTGGCCAAGAATATATATTGCTTATGCCATGTGTTATGGTGGCCTGGGGGCTTGATGATATCGAAAGTGGTATGATGTAGAGTGTAAAATGTAAATGGCGGGAGTGATGAGGTGTTAAATTTTAATTGGTTGAAATATAAAAAATTGGAGAGGAAGATGGGGGCAACGGAGTGATCATTGTCACTTGCAATGGGGCAACGCCCCTTCAAGTTTGAAGTGTAATGGGGGATGGACGTGATGGAGGGTGATCAAGCCCCTCCTCAAGCCCCACATAACACACGGTCTTAAGAAAGTGTGGCAAAAAGTAATGTGCGATTTTAACTTGTAACAACATCGTAATGATCATAAAAACTACTATTAGCCAGAGTCTATCCTACATCGAAAAATTAAATATAACAGGTTTATAAGCTCTTGATCGAGTTGAATCGATTAATCGATTATATTCAATCTTTTAATGTGGTTTAATGTAAGTGTGTTATGGTCTAATCTATTTACCCTTGTCCCATCTTAAATTTTAACATAGTATCAGAGCAAGGTCCGAAAGTGCTAACTAGGCTAGGCTAGTTACCACATGAGGACAAGTGTTAGTGTTTCCACATTGGAAAAATAATAAAATACCACTAGCATATGTAGAAGCGTTAAACTCTACCCATTAGCTTAAAATCAATGTTCTTCCCATTTATCTCGGGGCGCTGAAACCTTAACATGGTATCAACTATTTTGCTCAATTCATCCAGTTCTTTTGACAACAAAGGTTGTTGTCATAACATCATGACAAGAACACGAATTGAATTAACTATAATGATTCTTTCATAAAATTGATGATTTTTATTTCCCCTAATCTTTCTAAACCCTTCACACCTAGTCAGCAACCAATAAAGGACCATTTGTTTTTTTTTAAATTCTAATCGCCAGCCTAAATAAAACAAAAAAAACTTGCAAAGATGAGAATAATGTAAAGATGTAGAGGCATGCTAGGGGTAGACTAAAATAGGGTACTCCATTTGTACACCAGGCAAATACAGATGAACACAGATATTTAGTGTCTGTGATCCACATGCACTAAGTGTCTATATTTTTTTGTTTTTGCCTGATATACAAATGAGATACTTCATTTTGGTGTGACCAATTTATTCAAAACTAGGCAGACAGCAGGTGGAATAATGGGTCAAAGAAAACAACTTATCAATGACACGACAACCAAAATTAAATTTCAAATTGTCAACAAAAATCATCACACGCCCAATTATTATGCCCCACATGCATCTTTCAAACCCTATGCCGAATGTGGCGTTTCCATACAAAATTTTGCCGCGTTAGACGGCAACTTGTGTGTTCTCTTTCTTTCTCATACATTAGTTTTTGACGGATTTTTTTAAATAGGACTAAAACGTAATGATTTACTCTCTTAATATAAAGTTATATGTTTTTATTTTCAAATATTGGATCTTTGGTCATTATTCATTAGTCTCAAGTAAAAATCCATCATTACTGGACATTATTCTTCCCACTAGACATTATTAAGTTCTATTTAGTGAATAAAAAAGTTTAAATCCTACATTGAAAAATGACTTATGTTTTAATCTTTTTTAATGTAACTTTTTCTTAGTTTTCTTCATTTCATATAAATTTTCATTTTTATCTTTATTGTCGCATGTGAATTCTCATTCCATCTCCGTCGTTTTTAAAATTAAAACTACCAACTTATACAAAAAAAAAAATTGACAACCGTGCGATGAAAAAAGAAACAAGAAGAAGAAGAAAGAGAAAAAAAGAAGTCAATCGACGCGCTCGAGACACTATTCCCTCGCACCCTGAATCCTCAATAGAGGTGGGGGGGGGGTGGGGGTGGGGGATGTTCCTCTCCTTTTGAAATGAGATTAAAATTACTCACTCCATATGAAATTAAAAAATTTCCATTTAATATTTACAACATGTAGGAAAAAAGTAAAATTTGTGAGTTGGATTTACGAAGTGGAAAAGGGAAAAATAATGTAAATCACTCCATGGTTTTTTTTAATCGAAAGTACTACTAATTTTATTCACCAAGAGAGAATAAATTCATTAGAGCCAAAAAGCACCAAAACCTCTTCTCTACATAGCTAGATAATGTAAATATAAGATAGTTTAAAAATTTTATGGGAAATTTACGTAAATAGCACAAAAACATAATGATTTTTTCTAAATAACATTACATGTGTTTTTTTCCCAATGTAGCACTTTTGGTCATTATCCATTAATCATTATTCAACTAAATGTTCGTCATCACTGGACATTATGGACATTATTAAATGTTATTTAGAGAATAAAACAGTTTAAGTGCTATTTAGAGAAATGACTTATTTAATGCAAATATTTCAAATTTTATATATCAGAACTGGATTTTTCATTAAAATAAATTTAGTTAAAGAAATCACTCTAAATAGAGCAAAACATGATTAAAAAAATACTCCCTCCGTTTGGAAAAACACTTCCCATTTGATTTGGGGGCAAAAATAAGGAAGTGTTAAATTATAGTTGATTTCCAATTTTGCCCCTGATGTGATGAGTAAAAGTAAGATGTGATGGATAGATTATTAGAGAAAAAGTATGATGTGATAGGTAGGGTATGAAAAAGTAAGGGTTAAAGTGGTTTTTTAATAGAAAGGGAAAGTGTTTTGTTGGAAGTGGAAAAAATGAAAGAGGAAGTGTTTTTGAGAACGGAGGGAGTACCTAAATGGAAGCTTCACATTTTTATCTCTAAAATATGAGTTCGCATTGTAGTAATGTGGTACTATACATGAACATTTCACAATACTTTTTTGTAATAAATAGGCTCGTGATTAATAATGTAAATGCATTTTAACTCCTATTTTGGAATAAAAATATGAAAATTTTAATATTTTTTCAATGTTTTTAATCATACGTTAGTCTTTTTCTCTTTTAATTAGAGTAAATTTATATTACAATGTATTACTAAATACAAAGTATATTTTATAAAAATTTGAGAAAGGAAAATGAAAGGTATGTATATGTATAATAGGTAGGGTATATGTATATATATATATATATACCTGTATGGTGGAGCAGTCAAGGTGTTTCTGGATATCGTGGAGGCGGACGACGTCCCGATACACATACTTGCAGATTTGGAGCCAGCGGTGGCGGCCCGGGTGCGCCGGAGAACTCAAACAGTGCTTGCATATCCCGGCGTTGCAGTCCATACAGAACACGTTCCTCTCGTTCCTCCGCCGGTCCGCGTGCTCCCCGCACGGCCGGAAGAACTCGCTCCCCACCAGCCCCCTCGTCCACTCCGCCGCCGCCGCCCTCTTCCTCTTATTCATTATACATATATATTCTTCCTATATATTATTGTTATTATTACAATCTACTATATATACTCTCAACATATATATATATATATATATATATATATATATATATGCATCCACACACTATATAATGAAATGAAGAAGATGAAGATTAATTAATAATTCACCATAAATAATGTGTGTATGCTGAGGTGGAGATCGAGGAAAATAAAGTGGAGATGCAAAGCTTTGGGGAGTATTTATAAGTGTGTTTATTTGTACAGCTAATTATCTTTTTTCTATAAAAACATACGGAAAATGGGAGATTGTGATATTTTCTTTCATTATATTCCTAAATAAATTGCTCTTTTTTTATTGATTAATCTTAATTATTTATTTCATTTTTTTCTAAGGGCGGTGGTAATGGCTATGACGCCCAACGATGTTAAGGCCCTTTTTGACCCAGGGGCATTAAACACCGCCCCCATCCCCCATTATGACCTCATTAAAATTGTTGCGTCAAACTTTTGACGCGGCTTGAAAGCTAAAATGACCTTTGAAACTCCCCCCCCCTCCCTCTACAACGGCTGTAATGCCGTTACAAATTTAAAAAATCTTTTTCTCCCCCTTTCTTTCTCTTTCCTTCTCTATAATTCAATCCGTTCTTTATCTCCCTCTTTCTTCCTCTTTCCTTCTCTATTTTCAGGTCGGGTCTTCGGTAAAAAACAATTCGAGTCATTTTTTGTTAGGTCTATCGATCATGCATCTCATCATGGGTGCACACACATAGACAAGTTAGTGCTTAATTATATGCATCCAAACAAAAAGATTGTCATTTACCATTGGTTATAGTCACAAGAAAGTAATTTATTTTCTAACGTGTCACTTTACGTGCAGGCGAGTGTACTACCATTTTAAAATTGTTTTTAGCTTTATATGTGAATATATGTTATTGTTTTTATTGTTCTACATGTCACAATATGTCATTGTGACATGTAGAACAATAAAACTAACACCACATTAAGAAAACAATTAACATAAAGTTCAAAATTATGAATATTATTTATGAAAATTGTGATAAGTACATATGGAGAATCATACGGTTTATATTTTTAATGATTCGACAACGTGAATGGGCTTTCACCTTAAAGATAAAATCATAGAAATGTGTAGTAATTAAGTCTAATTAGGTGATTAAATACAGAACATAGGTAGGCAGCTTTCAAGTCATTATTTATCAATAATCATGATTACTTTTGAAGAGCTTGGCCCCTTTTACTATTAGTATTCTCTCCCTTTCTAAATGATTTTAATTTTTTTCTAAAAAATAAATTTAACTTTTCTCTATGGAAAAGAATATATGGCAAAAAAATTATCTTCTCAACAATTTCTAACAATTATTTTTTCATCTTTCAGCAATTTTTTAAAGAATTATAAAAATGAATAACAGAAGATAAGAGGATTAAATAATTTTAAGGATTACAATAAAGAAATAAACAGGCTGTTCGGACACTTTGTCGGCAGGCTTTTGGTAGGTTAAGTCTAAGCGCCACGGTTATAATTAGCAAAACTTTACCTTTTCGAGCACGTCCAATACGAGGGATAATTTGGTATTTTCATAATTTCACCAAACGAATTTAAATAAACCGAAAAACAAATATACGAGTATTGACTATTGAGTAAGTTTGATTGTTTTAATCCCACAAAAATAATTCCCAAAGAAATATTCTCCGAAAATATGGAATTTTGATCAATATAAAGGCAATGCGTTTCTACAATTATATACGGAGTATATCCAAAAGCATCTAAAAATGCACGGATCTTATTTCATGAAAAAAGTGAAAACACTAAGGCCCCGTTTGGTATACGGAATTCAAACTGTGGAATTGGAATTGAGGGCTTGAATTCCAATTCTCGTGTTTGGTAGCACAAAAATTATGTGGATTTAGAATTGGTAATGCAAAAAATGAATTGGAATTGATTAATTCAATTCTATGGAATTGAATACTATGGAATTTTAATTCCAATTCAATTCCAATTCCATAAATTACGTGTACCAAACGGACTCTAAGAGAAAAATGAGTAAATTTTATGATTGGTCTTTTATAACGGACATTTTTTTTATATTTAGTAGTACTCTATTATCAAATATTTTATATAATATTTTCATGGTCCTTTTTTATGTGTACTTCTCTACAGATAATTCTTTTTTGATCTTCTATCATTAAGTGTTAAATTGAGATCTGAAAGTGTAATCTTACATCAATCCAATGGCGTTGTTTCCTGATGTCGGCTTCACGGACAACATAATAATGACTACAGTTGTGGACTAGGGTTCCAACTAAATACGACATTTGTAGACTGTTGTTGTAGTAGACAACGACTTAAGTTGACAAATGATGCATCAACAATGACCTCTAACATTGGCTCTGACAAAAAAGATATATGATCATTATGAAATTATATTTTTAGTCACGATTTAACACTAACATGATAGAAAGTTAAAAAAATATGAATGTAATATTTGATAATAGAACACTAAATAAAAAATCATTACTATAAAAGTATTAGTAATACCATGCGAGAGAGACAAAACAAAGTAACTCACATCCTATCCATATAGTATTATTCTTCATGTTCGTGGTTTCAACTTTCAAGACACCGGTGAATCTCCCATTTGCTTCCACGTGTTCCCAAATCATGAGGAATAAGCATTTTTGAATCATGCAAAAGGTTATAAAAGTACCTCTAAATTTAAAATATACCAAAATTGAACAAGTTTAGATCTAAATATATCTCTAACGTGATTTAGAATATATTCCCTCTATAAAAAAAAGTTAAACATCATCTTTACTCCCTAGGAATAAGTTGAAACTGAAGAAGTCTCATAGTATCTGAGTGTAAATCTGATTTCATTGCACTATAACTTGCCACACAAAAATGTTTCCCAATCCATTCGAAGCATTCTCTATACGACTCATTTGCTTGTCCACGCGTGTGTGTGTATTCACAAGTCACGGTTGGAATATGCCCCGAACGCAAAATTTGAAGCAATATACGAACCTTTTGGCATTGGGTTTGCAAGAAAAACTTCCCACAAGCTTTCATCACATATGTATGGTTAGGCACACGAAGAGGCGTTTCTCGTCTTAAGAGTGATTTTTCCATGTAATAGTGAGAAAGTATCTTTCTTCTTCAGTCACTGTGGAGTTTTTTCCTTCTCTGGCACCTCTTTATATACCAACCCGCGTGTTTCTTCAACCCCATTCCGACCAATATTTTGAGGCTGGCTAGCATGACAAAGGTCAATGCCGACAAGAGGAGAATCCAAAATACCCGCCAAGAGAGGGGACTGTACGGAAGATGAGCTGCATAAACCGGACGCAGCACTCGAATTACCTGCATATATGTTTTTTTATATGACAGTTCGTTTCATACTCAGTATGGAAAATTCAAGATCTCAAATTCCATAATGATAATGCAGGAAATGCATGATTTTCTTTTTGCCTAATTTTACTGGGTTGTTCTTAAAAAAATGTATGTACAAGCCCTTACACTTCCATTGCTCCAACCACAAAGGATGAAGGGGAGATTTGGAAAGGTATATTTGTTCCAACCTCACCGTTACCCCTCTAATCAATGGACTGAAATGTACTCTGGAATCTATGGACGAGAACGAGATCATACCACGCAAGCTGGCGCTAGAGGAATGAAAACCAGGTTATTCTTTGCACTCTCAGGCTGGTTCCATGTCTGTATCAAAAGTAAAGATAATAGATTTTAAATGAATTCATGTCACCAATTTGGCAAATCTGTATACTCACTTTTTTTTTATTGTTTGAGAGAAAGACAAGAAATCATTATGATCATCATCCTGTAGTACCTGCTTGCAAAGATCCTCAAGAAATTCTGAAAATGCCATGGGCTTGATGTTGTTGAATTTGGCAACAAAAGAATGTTTAATTATATCAATCATCATTTCACATATGTACACAACAAGGGCATTCTGCACTCAAAAGGGGGAAGGGGTGAGAGAGAGAGTCAGTTGGCACTAAGTTGAAGGGCATATAGCTGGGCCTTTAGAGTGTAGGGAACTAACTATACATGCGAATCCACTCACATAAATGAAACTTTGAAGCCAAGGTCCTTCCGCCTCCAGTATATTTTGAGCTAAAACAAACAGGAGAAATGCAGAAATATGGAACCTCTCAACAGCATCTACACAGAAGAATACCAGAAAATGAAGCAAGACAAAATGAAAGTAGATATCTAAAAAGTAGCCCTAATTCAGCAAAATGCATCATGTAATCCTAATGACAGTGCAGGGAAAACTAATAGAGTGTAATGCTAGGTTGGAAATCAAAAAATAGTAGACAATGAAAAAGACAGGTGGAAAATGTATTTTAGAATTTCAGTGGTGGACTTACCTTGGAATGCAGAAAGACAATTCACATTTACTTAAAACTTTTACATTTTTCGCACATTCTTTATTTTGTTAGTCTTCATATAGTAAAAGTATATAAATAGCCAAATATCTTAATTTTCAGTTTAATTTTTTTCTCCTTCCATATTTTCCTCCCTATTTTCTTTCTCTAGCCTTTTCCAAGTTCCAAACGAACCACCCTAAGGAATATAGAGATTATCTTCTTAGCCAAGCTGAATAATCAGTAACTTAGGGTGAGTATACATTATTATCGTGGTGATCCATTACAAACTCTTCCATCCAAGCCTAATTGTACGGCTATCAGTTATGGTTGTTGAACAAGCACAAGTACCAAATGTCTTATATACATCAGTTGGAAATAATCAACAATAACAATATTGGAGAGATTTGAGCATTTCCAATATGAAACAAAGCCATCCCTTGCTGAAAAAGTGACCGAAAATGTGGGTTTCACAGCAAAACCAATAACACAGTACGGGGGTTTGGGGGG